CTTCAGTCTCTCTTTCTCCCCCTATCTCTCCGTCTCTTTCTCTCTCTCTCTCTCTCTCACACACACACAGACACACCCCCCCCAGCTTCAGTCTCTGCATATCACTCACACACCCCACACACACACACTGGTTTCAGTCTCTCTTTCTTTTCTCTCTCTCTCTCACACACACACACACACACACACACACACCCCAGTCAGTCTCTGCACATCTCACACAGAAGCACACACACACAGCCTCTGTACACGCTGCTTCCTGAATCATCAACATCCTGAAAACCCCAGCCTGCTGCACTGAGTCCATTCCCATTGCTGGCAGACCTGAGGGTTACAAAGTGCTCTCCGTAGGGTGTTCTTGGCTATAACTTTAACGGAGAAGGCGCCCTGGTGGCACAGCAGTTAAGGGCTCATCTGCATCTCAGAAGAAAGCAGTGGCACTCTCCTTCCGCGGAGAAACCCGATGGCCAGGTCTACTCTGTCCTGTGTTGGGGTCACTTTGAGTCAGCATCAACTCATGGAAGTGGGACTGGTTTAATCTTAACAAGAAGTGGACTGTGGTGTTGTTATGTACAATCTCATATATCATCGAGTCAGAACTGACGGGTAGGATTTTGGAAGCAATAAACTGCACAGGAGCAGACTGCCCGTCTTTCTCCCATGGAGCGGCTAGTGGATTTGAACTGCGTGCCTTAGGGTGGGCAGCGCAGCTCCTTACCCACTACTCAGCACCACCTATGATGCCCTGGAGCATCTGGGTGCCACCTCCTCCTTTGCCCTTCCCATCACAACTCAAGCATCACGTCGTGGGCAGTCACCCCTGGCCTCCTGAGTCAAACCGTGTCAATAAATTCTTACGGCACCTTGCACCCTTCCACTGCAGTAGGAACACTGCCGGACTTTTGGACTTTTACATGTGCTAATAGTTCTTTATATCTGCTAATAGTTCTTGTTCTGGCGAGCTCTGGTGGCCTAGGGACAAGAAGCTGCACTGCATTCCGAGAGGTATGCGGTTTGAATCCACCAGATGCTCTGCTGGAGGAGGGGCAATCTCCTCCCATACCAGTCAGATCTGATTTGACAGTAAAGACAAAAAAAATAAATAAAATTTTTTTTTAAAAAGTTTCTTATTTTTATAAAGTGCTCTCTCCACAAAGGCACTTCATCAAAACAAAAACAGACAGAAATGTCCTGGAAAGGGTGAAGCCGGAGCACACCTTAGAGGAAAAGATGATGAAGCTTCGTCTTTCATACTTTGGGTGTGTAGCTGTTGTTGTTGTTGTTGTTACGTGCCGTCAAGTCGCTTGAGACTCATAGTGACCCTCTGTACAACAGCCCTAAACCCTGCTCTATCCTGTGCCAATCGCACTGTCTCCAACACACCCATCCCGATTACCCCAGTCACTGAATCAATCCACCTCATAGAGTGTCTTCCCCTCCTGTGCTGTCCCTCCACCCTCCCAAGCATGATGTCCCTCTCCAAGGACCAGTCCCTCCTTACAACATGTCCAAAGTATGTCAGACGAAGCCTCAGAATCCTTGCCTCCAAGGAGCATCCCGGTTTAACCCTCTCTAGGGTGAATCTGTTTTCTTAGCAGTCCACGGTACCCTCAGTACTCTTGCAAAGTTACAACATGCTTGGAAAGATAGAGGGTCAGGTATGGTGTGGAAGACTCCCAAAGAGATGGACTGACACAGTGAGGTCAGCAGTGGGCTCTGGTGACTAAGAGATGATGAGGATGGCACAGGATAGGACAGGGATGGCTGTTCACACAGTCACTGTGACTCACACTCAACGACACCTAACAACAACCACCACCACGAAGGCAGACTCTGGGTGTGTCTGCTCACTCCAATATACCCAGCGCCGAGGGTATCACAGAGCACAGCTTAGAACGGAATATGTCTCTGATAGATCAATGCGTGGCTGGATGGCAAGATCTTGGACTTTCTGATTTGGAGTAACAGTAATCATAGTAATTAGACCAGCATTTCCAGGCAGTGCAAACGGTCTGTGCGCACCTACTGACCTTGCGGGTGATGGCTGGAGCTCCAACAGAGGCACTGCGGAAGAAAGGCTTGGTGATTTGCATGCAGTTAAGAAAACTGTGTAAAGCCAACCGCTCTGCTCCGTTACACATGGAGTCACCACGAGTACGAAGCACCCAGATGGCAATACAGTTGGGATTTTTTAAAAAAATTTTTTTTTTACTTTATTATTTTTGTGTGAGTGTACCGTCAAATCAGATCTGACTGGTACAGGAGGAGATTGCCCCTCCTTCCCCGGCAGAGCATCTGGTGGATTCGAACCATATGCCTCTGGGATTGTAGTTGCAGCTCCTTGCCACTAGGCCACCAGAGGGATTTTTTTTTAAAGCCTAAGTTAAACTCTGTGTACCAAGTGCTTCCTTGATGTGTGACATACTCTTTCGTGGGAGTTTCTCCAAAGCTCAATGAGAATGATACTCCGTGTTCATTAGCTTCTTGCTCCAGACAGGGAGCTCTGGTGGCCTAGAGGTAAGGAGCTGTGCTGCCAACCTGAAGGCACGCGGTTTGAATCCACCTTGGGAGGAAGATGGGCAATCTCCCGTGTGATTTATTGCCTCTGAAAACCCACTAGAGGGTCAGCTATGGGTTTGGTTCCGACTGGACAGTTTACAACCATCACCACCAGATGGGGCATACTGGGTCACGGAGAGGTTAGGTGGCTTGCTGAAGGCTACAGACCAGGGGTGTGAATGACCCTGACACCGAGGCACTGAACCCACAATACTGACCAGCATACACCACTGTCCTGCTCTACCCCATCAGGACGGCCACCAAGTCCTTCCTCTCGCTGAGGCTGCTTTCCTCTTGAGAAAGGCTGATGGCTGTGGGCCTGACCCGGCTTTAGCAAAATGTTATGGAAAACAATGAGCAGAAGTGGGGGTGGAGGGTACTTTCATTTCCATTAGTCCTTTTAGGTGATTTGATTCTTTTAAGCCATATTCTTATGTCATTTTTACTTAAAGGAAGTGAACTAATGGACCAGCATTTCCACTCAGTGTCTTTCAATGTTTACCTCAATTAAACCAGCTGCCCCACTTGAGAACCAGCCATGCCACTGAATGGGGTCAACTGCTGAGAATGTGCATTTCCACCCCAGATACTCTGAATCAGAATTTATGGTTTCACTAGGTTCCTCAAGGGAATTTACACACACACTCACACACACTCTCTCTCACATACACACACTGCTCAGGCCTTTTGTTCACAGGGTCGCTATGAGTCATCTACAACTTGACGGCACCAAATAACAACAATACACACACACACATACATATATTTATATATACACACATACATACATATACATATATACACATAGACATACATACATATAAATAAATATAAACAATTATTTGGAGACGATAGCTAAAATGTAGGTTTGAATTCCATACACCTAGAGCACAAATACAAATTCTCAGCAGGGGCCAACCAGGAATTATATCATGTGAAGTCACATTTTCAGCAAGGATTCTACAGGAGAGTTCTGCTCAAAAGGGGGGAAATGCAGAACTGAACACCTATTTTTCATGGCCTCCTGACTTTCTGGAGCCATGGTGGTTCCATGAACCACTGGAATTACTGCCCTAACATAATCTTTGAACTTTAAACAAAAAGGCCATACATTTATCTTAAAACCAAACAAAATTTTGTTGTTGTTGTTGATTGACGTCGAGTTGAGCACAACTCATAACAACTCCATAAACAAAAGACATAATGCATTTCTATAACTATTGTTGTTTCTTCAAGTTCATAGTTTCCATAGGCATGTGGTTTAGGAAGTGGATGTCACTCCTGCTTCCAAACCTGTTTTACAACTGGGAGCTCTAACAAACACTGTTCACACTGGGAAACCATTATGGCATTTCACACCCCAATGGCACAAGGTTCAACATCCCAACTAACTCGGATTACCTCAGTACAGCAAATTGGCAAAGAGTGATGTACAAAGTAGAAAAATATTCCTCCAAAATATAACACTAGTCTCAGCAGTGGTTAAGTGTCGTCAGGTCGAATACGACTCAGCGACCCTATGAACAAAAAACCTGAACTCTGTTCTATAATTAACATCATTTCTTTATGTTGATAGAGTTTATAGAGCTTCTGGTTTAGGTTAGAGATTTTAGGTTAAAGATCTAAGTTTAAAATTTTAGGTTAATTAAAAAAAATTTAGGTTAATTAACTAAAAGATAGCTGATTTAAAATGGTGCTTTTAAGAATTTTATGGGAACAAACTGCAAACAGCAACTGAACTGAACTGAAAAGATGAGAGAGAAAAGTTAGAGTAGTGGGTTCATGTCACTGAAGGAGGACTTCAGAAGAGGAGGGTGAGAATGGATACAAACTCCAAGAACGAAATCTGTCACTGAACTGTAC